GGTGTATTTAAGATAGCTAAATAAGCTAAGCCGTTCCTTATCATTTTCCGATCTGGAACAGAAGCACTGACGTTGAGATTTGTTATAAACAACCTCTGAATCACTAATCTCAAAATAAGTTTCAACAGCAAAAGCACGGAGTTTATGACTCCATAGCACATTTTTTTCCTAAAATGGTGTGGTTTAGTTGAGGGAGACAGCAAAGGAAATTGAAGTGCTCTCATTACCTAACACAGTTTAATATTCTGAAATATTTTGTATTGGAGGAATAAACTCATTATTTCAAAACGAGAAATGTTTTGTCAATAAGTCATACCGATAAAAATTTATTTTAACTCACTAGGTCTACCCACAAGTTAAACTTATGAAAATAAACAATAGGAAAACCCTAACAGCTAACAAAATCAGGAAACCCGGTAACTCAGTGTTTAAAAGCGAACAAAGTGATATATGTTCGCAGGAGAGTAATGCTCGCTAATGCCCAACCCTGCACCCGCCAGTCCACCGCTACCACTGAACTGTTAATGAAAAACAATGACCTTCCGCTGTCGGCCCAATTGGAATTTGCAAACAAAAAACCTACCTAAAAATATTCCCAAAGGTGAAAACAATGGTAAAAAAATATTTACGATTTTGGTTTTGCAACTGTTGTGAATTTTATGACCGATAATGATACTTTGAAGTGTGAGATTATCTAATTTATGTTGCTTCACCATAGTTATGCATAGTTATTTGTTCCACCATCTGTTCTTGTAATTCCATTTAGCTCATACTTTCACCTATCTTCTTTTATTTATTTATTTTTTTTTTATCAAATAATGATTATGTTTGGACGCAACTACAGTCGACGCACAGGCTCGCTGCCCATGTCGGCTTATTCTCTAAAAATATGTACGTTTTGTTAAACATAGATGTTATGCAAATGTCAATTTAAGTTATTCTTTTGATTTTACATTTATGTTTTTTCACCATTATGTGTGTAAAATGTTTGTTAATAATTTGAGATATTATTCATTCATTCATTATTCTTCTTGGACGGAGTACACTTTTTAGTAACTTTGAACGACCTTTGTGGTTTGAAATTTGTTTAAGGTAACTGATTAAACAACTTATGTTGATTCCTAAAAATCTTAATTTTTAAAACGTGTAACATAACACAACTAGTGTGCATTTTTTACGAATTTTCCTAAAGGGGAGTAGCTATTACCGTAGGTCGTATGGTAAGGCCTAGACCCGGGACTGACATACTTTTGTGCCCATGAACACGATAATTCAAGTAATTTTAGTCATATTTTGATAAAATTTGGCATGAACGTTTGGGTTGGCCTTAACTTGAATGTGTTAGCGAACTAGCAAGATCGGGTCATGATAACGTGGAGTTATGGGGGTTTAAAATTTGCAAATTTAGAACTGTTTACACTTTTACATTTAAAACATAAAAATGACACAATTTCCATTACCACAATTTTGTATTAACCATTTATTACCATTTAACATTAGCTAGAGAGCTGAAACCCGGTTAATTTGTTTTGAATAATGAATAATATTAGTCTATGAGCAAGTTGAATTTCAATCTCCGATGGGGGACGGAACGTTAGGAGTCAGTTTCAGCTATCTTGCTAATGTTGACTATGAGTATTTACCAATACTAAGGCCTGTGCAGGTATTTTCCGCAAAAACTTTGAACAGCCGCCATTCTGTAACGAATGAACCTTTTGAGGCGCGGTTTGCGGCAATGAACTCCACTTGACAAGCCCTTTAAAGTGATGTGCACATCAACCTATGCTTACATATAAGATTATGTACCTACTCCTCACTCCTACTCCTACACCTTCACTCCTACTCCGGGTAGAGGTAAAAAATGTCAATGCTTGCAAAAAGTAGTTTTCATACATATGATGTGAAAGGTTTGAAATTTCTAACAGATTTAGTTAAAAAGATATTAATCCGTTTCCAGACTTTTTTGTCGCTCTGTATATCCTCACGATAACTCGAGCAAAAATAATCAGATTTTGATGAAATTTTGTACAAACATGTAAACGTACATTTATTTAACGAGTTTACGAATCACCATGATTGGTCCGTGGGAACGGGGTTTTACGGAGGGGTTTTATTTGGTAAAATAGGGGTTTCTCTATTTTGACCCTTAAAACATAGAATTCACCAATTTTTCTTCAAATCATTTTTTAGAGCTTACAACTCAAATAATTAAGTATCTTACGGTAATTGGCTATGGAGGAAATTCAATAAATTGTAAATTTAGAATTCCGGTGACATTCTTACGGGGGCTAAATAAATTATTGTACTGTAGTTTACTTGTCTAAAGATATATTTTGATCAAATTCGCTTGTTCTGCAGGTTTACTGCGGCGAGGGTATTTTTACTAGGACTGACTGAGCAGCCTGTCGGTTAATAAGCTCGTACTTTAACCAAATTTGTTCTAAGAACTAGATACTAGAATCATTGACTATGCCAAAAAACTATGAAGCCAAAAACCGTGGTGCAATATCTGTTGAGATGGTCACTAACTAATAACAATATTCTGTGTGATAAATCAATCAGCTGTTTGCTGTGATACTACATTGGTTTTAATTAATATTCAACCCAATACACTAGTAAACTCTGGTGAGATGGTTCTGAACTTCATCTATTTTCTTGTTGGCTTCAAACTTTCATATCACATGGGAAGTCTATTCTGTGTATAGTCAATGCTAGAATGTCTAAATTTTGTCATGTTCTTGATTGGTCTGACTGCGTAAATGAGAGAGAACTATCAAAGTAGTAAAACAGCATTGCAATCATAAAAGAATTACCAATATATTAAATATCGCTAAAATTTTTAGGAAAGACTAGGAAGGATGAAACACAAGAGAGACGAAGAGGAAAAAAGAGAGAAAGAGAGAGTGACTTGACAAAACGCCAAATAAAAACAATTGACCAGATCAGACCCCAGAAATAGCTACTAGGAGACAATAGCACATTCTCGTGGCTGGCAAGACCCCGATTAGACAAGAAGACAAAACGACACACGCGACAAACAATATACACCACTCCTTACTGATAATCATTGAAACACCAAGACTTTAATAGGAGGGAGGGCTGCAGACTAGCGATGCGAAACCTGTGATCAACTCCTCAAGATCAATGGCTTCAAATCCATCGGAATTGTTAACAATAACGTTTTAATAAATTATGTTATGAAATAATAAGTAATATAATTTTAAAGAAACTGATTTTATGTCTGGTCAAAAACAATCCTTATTTGATAAATTAATTTTGGTTCATACAAAAATAATATGTAAATAGTCTAGTGTAAAAATAATTTAGTGGTTTGTACTAAGAGTGGTTTGTAACACTGGTTGTACATTGAGATATAGACAAAATATTTTGTTTATTTACTTTTTCTACGACTTCAACTGGCGTCTTTTTAAAATAGCATTGGTAATAAAATACGAGTGAAATGGTACAAAATCGTACATGACAACGATTTTAAATTAGTTTTTATTTCATCGCTTGGTAATAAGGAGAAACAAATTTATTGTATGGTAGCAGCTATTCCATAAGCATAGCTTTAATGGGCATATACTGATTTTTCCCTCTTTCAAAGCATTGCTTGAAAAATGCGTCACAAAATAATCCCTCCCGAAAACCTTGTTCAAAAAAGAAATTTAATTAAAAGTAGTCCTATACAATATGATATTAAAATGTTTTATTCATTTTTAAGTTTTGTTTATTAGTATACCATGTTTCAGGATCTCTTTCGTAAAGATGATTTGAGTGAATCTTAAACTTATTTAGAGAACATAAGTCATGTTTATATTTGGTAAATAAAACATTTAAAAATCAAATGCATGCCATTATTTGAAGGCTGTAATACTCTGTCACATGTTTGGGGACCTCTCTGTTGGTCATCAGATATTACTGTTATTGCAAACGGGCATTGTGACATTGTTTAATCAAACTATGCCTGAAGTAGAAAGCATTGACATTTTTGCCCTTGGAACTAGATTTTGGAAACTCTCTCATGCCTAAGAAATATAAACGGTATCAGCAATCTGTCACGTACTTTCTCCCATTGGCTTGTCAACAACCTTTATCATGGGTAAGTGATGAGAGTAACTATGATATTTAATAGGTCACACAAATTTCATTAACTTTTGGACCGTAATTTTTACAGGAATGGGGGATTGCACTATTTTGTTTAGAATTATAGGTACCATCACAGACGAAATTCAATCAGAATCGGTTTATTTTTTTAAATCCGTTTTTCTGTGGGTGTTATAAGAAAACACATAAGTTACTAAAACTATTGAACTTTAATTTTTAAAGCTATGGAGGGTTACACTATGTTTTTACGAATTATAAGGACCGCTAATTTAAATCAAAACATTTTTTTTCGATTTCTCTCTTATTTTATGTTTTTTTTTTATAATAACATAATTTACCATTACTTTTGAACCATAATCTTTACTTGATTTTTTTTTAATTTTTATCAAAATCGTTCGGGCCATTTTCGATAAAATCCGATTTGTCCAATATTTTATTGATTTTTATGGGAAATCACCATTAAAAATAAAAATGTCTAAAACATGAACAACACTTTTGGAAATGCTATGGAATATTACCTACATACCAAAATTTAATCAAAATCGGACTACAGGTGTAGTTTGTAGCTCTGTACACATCCTCACATACAGACACACACGCAGACATCACTATGCTCTTGTTATAACGCTTGCTCGCTTAGGTGCATATTTTTATCTGAATATGAGAGCAAGGTGAGTGTGGAACGGAGTGGGATGATCTGTCTGGATTTGTTATTTATTAACATCAAATGGTTCTTTGGTAAAGATAATTTCACTGAAAGCCAGTGTAAAGAAAGCTATCATATTGGAAGGTTTAATGGACCTACTACACCGGAAGGTTCAGGGAAGCTGTTAAACCGGAAGGTTTAGGGAAACTACTACACTGAAAGTTCAATGAAGTTGTTACACTGGAAGGTTCAAGGGAACTGTTACATTGAAAGGTTTATGGAAGCTACTACACTGGAAGGTTCAAGGAAGCTACTACACTGGAAGGTTCAAGGAAGCTACTACACTGGAAGGTTCAAGGAAGCTACTACACTGGAAGGTTCAAGGGAACTAATACATTGGAAGGTTTAGGGAAGCTACTACACTGGAAGGTTTAGGGAAGCTACTATACTGGAAGGTTCAATGAAGCTGTTACATTGGAAGGTTCAATGAAGTTTTTAATTTGGAAGATTCAATGAAGCTGTTAAACTGGAAGGTTAAGGGAAGTCGTTTTACTGGACATTTCAAGGAAGCTGTTTCACTGGACATTTCAAGGAAGCTGTTTCACTGGACATTTCAAGGAAGCTGTTACACTGGAAATTTCAAGGAAGCTGTTACACTGGACATTTCAAGGAATCTTTTACACTGGAATTTTCAAGGAAGCTATTTCAATGGACATTTCAAGGAAGCTGTTACACTGGAATTTTCAAGGAAGCTGTTACACTGAACATTTTAAGGAAGCATTTACACTGGACATTTCAAGGAAGTTGTTACACTGGAAATTTAAAGGAAGCTGTTACACTAGAAGGTTCAAGTGTATCTATTTATATGGCAGGTGCAAGGGGAAACTAAAGGGTAAGTTGAATTTGAATTTAATATTGTGAGTAAAGTACATTTGATTTTTAAATATGGTACATTATATGAATTAGTCACAATTTTTGTAATTGAGGTAATTTGTATTTCACAGTCTAATTTGATTTTGACAAATAGGTTTACAAGAAGTTTTCAGGGATTCAACTATTAACATCAAATGCTACAAAATAGTGATCATTGAAATTTACTTGTATATCAAAATTACTAGACATTTTACTTCTCTTAATTAAACATCCCAGATCAATGAAAACTTTTAACTAATTAGTTACTAATTCCCTTATAGTCTATATAAAAGGTATTAAAACGAGTTACAAATTATTAATGCTACAAAATTAAAACATAAGCTTATTCTTTGTAGAAAAAAGTATTTCATAACTTTTAGGCTACCGGTACTATAAACTTATCATTTGTAGTTTAACATCCTTCATTCTTAATAATTCTTGTTTTAAGGATTTGGTCTAATTCTACACTATTTCTTTCTTACAAATATTGAACCAAATATTTCAAAAACATATTCAGGTAATTATTAAAAAATATAATATTTCAAGAATGTATAACAAATCTTCCGGTACTTTTCTAAGTTTGGAGCATCCCGGATTTGACAGAAACTAAGTTTTAATAGGATTTTATTATGATGACTCGCTTCAAGCAAGGCTGCCCGTTGAATAGGACTACACAAAAGCCATTGTGAACTAGGGAGACTCCGAGTTAGTGAGTTCGCAGACTTCTGCTTGCTTTAAACATGCCCATTATGAATATAAGAGCTTTCAGACTTTTTAAAAAGACTGAGATACATTAAAAACACTGCTGTAATATCTGCAGTGTATAGAGTCGTTTTATACTTAAAATAAGAGCTGAAAATATTAGGTTTAAATATTGGAACTAATAATAATGTATTGTTTGGTGAGCAAGCTGTAGCAAATTGTTTTTACATTTTAGCGAATTCCAGATAAAGGGAATAATTACCAAGAGTGGCACTGTAAGACCTAGACCCAGGAAATTTGCGGTCTATATTATATACAAATACAAAAGTTTTACATATGCATACAGATGTCCAACTTGATAACTCAAGTAATTTTGGTCCAATTTTGATCAAATTTGGTATGAATGTGTAGGGCTGGATACACTTTAATGAATTTGTGAAAAAAACAAGATCAGGTAATGGGATGAGAGTGTTAAAGGTATTAAACTTTTCAGAATTTTGTTTTTCAAATCTTTACCCTTAAAACATGGAAATTCCCAATTTCCATTAAAGCAATTGTACATTGTGAGTAGACCATAAGATTTTTTTTTTCATTTTGAATTGTTGTACGATATTAGATTTTAAAAAAAACTCTTCAATTAAAATTACCGTTTTATTCTTATAGAGAAAAGGTTAATAGTTGAAGATTGCTTGTTTATTGATTATTTTGACCGGATTTCTACTTCTTACTGTTTATATTAACATTTTACCGAAAACAATTTTTTTACACCTTGTAACAGCAAACAAACAGTGCAATTTAAATAAATAATAAATGTGACATGTTTAAGGACAAATTTGAGTTAAAATCCAATCAGACAGAAAATTTGCTTAGTCTACAGGTTTGCTGCGGCTGAGCTATTTTACAATCTCAATCTCCCATACACAGGCATAGTGAGTTAATACCAAGAGCTCAAGATATTATGAATCCCTATATAAATTACTAGAACTTCAAAATTTACGTAAACTATTTTAAACAATGAAACTGTATGAATCTGGCGACTTATGGGTTTTTTTCTTATGCCCTATAGATACATTAACTACCTTATATATGCAGATATATTGGGTGACATTAGCTGTAGAAAGTCTAAAACAAATAAATTAACAAGATAAATAAGCAATACAAAATAAAAGTAATGCCTGGTTTATAGATATAATATGTCAGGTAAACTAATAAACTATTTGTGTTATTGTAATTGGTGTTTGATTCTACTCTAATTATTTTAAAGTGTTTATTTAACTCTACAGAATGGAGAATATGTTAAAAATCGTTTTGAAAATATCATCATCATGTTTTCTACCTTAAAAGTAAGTCATGTGGTAAATAACGTTACAAAAATGTAATATAATTGGAATACTCATGCCCATTTCTCAGCATGTTGTGTTGACAGAACTTATAATCAATCCTCAGGCTGATTATAATTTGTAATCTTGTTATTGAATCTGCTTCTAAATAAGCTTGTCTAAATTAAAAAATTAGTTTTTTGAATTACTATTTCTACCCACATAATATCTGTAAAAAAATTAAAAAAGCTGACCCAACTGAACATGAATAAATATTGTTTTCAATCATCTTGTTTAGGATAATTTGCAATCAATTAAAGTTTACGGAATCCAGTTAACTCAGTGTTCATTAGCTTCATTAAATGGTATAAGATTTGTTGTCAGTTTGATTAAAACTTTGAAAGTTATCAACTTGAATTAGTTGCGTTGAAAATCATTTCTGTGGCAGTGTAGGATTTGGAATAATAAACCAGATTCCAAGTTAGTGCATAAAAAATTAGATGTTCACGTTATGTATAATTTTCATGTGATGTATGTAATTTTTATCAAACAATTTAAATGTCTATCATTCATGTTGTTTAATACAGTTTTTTTTTTTCATTCAATCAAGATAAACCATTGAAAAATAAAATTCCTTGAAAAAGACTTACTGCATACATAACAGTAAAAGACTCATTAAAATAAATTTAGTATACCTTTTGACATTTAACTTCATGTAGCATAATTTTATTTGTTTTTAATGGGTCTAAAATACAGGGTGTTTTATTTAACCTGCAACCCATATTAAAAGTACTGTGAGACACATTTTAATGACAAAACAACCTTACATTTTGGTATCCCTGTTTTCTTTACTTCATTGCCAATTAGCTAATATGTGTTGATGCATAGTTATCTATGAGGTTTAGTGTTATTGGGAATTTATTGTAAATAAGACACAGCATGGCATTTCCCCAATCTCGAAAAGTTAGAATAATACTTAGAAAGTAAATCATTGGTTTTATGCCGAGGGTCAAAGTTATGAAATTAAATTATGAAATTATGTTTTCAGGTGTGATTCCTATACCTAATAAATCAACTATTATTGACATACACAAATTTATGAAACCGAATCCGCAATAATTCATCCGTTAAAATGTGTCGCACAGTACTTTTAATTTGGGTTGCTGGTTAAAATAAACACCCTGAGTACATTTTTTTTTATTTGAAACAGAAATTACATAACATTTAATAAAGGAACTGAAAATAAGATTAGGATACAGGCTTGCTGAAGTGAGGGTATTTATTTGTATATTTTCAGATAAGGAAATTATTTTAAACTTAAACATAGAAATTACGAGCACAATATCGTGTTATTAATATTAGCCACATTTATATACTAACATTTATTTTCCTCAACTATAGTTTTAAAGAAATTGTAAATAATTGATTGTTACATTGCAGCTAAATAACTATTTTTGATACATGCGTTGAGGGGCTTTTTTAAGTACCGTAGTTATTTTTCTAAGGTAGAGAAAAATCAGCTAGTCAATTATATCAGTTACACTATTTTGAACTTGTAGTTTTAGCTGTTGATTTTAAAGTTCTAATCAGTAAATGTATCATCATGGCCATTTAAGTTTATAAGTACTTATCATCGATTTAAATTGAATATTTTCCTACAAGAAATGTTGTTTTATCAATATTTAAGGAATTGATGAATTAACAAATTATGTGATTTGAATGTCTTATTGTGTTGGTGGCCTGTTGCTTCTAATTGTGTATTCAAACATTAGCATTACATATTAATTATATGTGTATTATCATTATATATTCATTCATTCATTCATTCATTCATTCATTAGCTATTTATTAATAACAAGGTGAAACCCGTCGAAATAGACGGTTACTTTTAAGGCTTACGTTGATTCATCTAACTGCGATTAATTGGGTGAAATATGAAAATATTTTGAGCATTTATCAAACTAGCATTGTTTAAAGAGTAATAAGTGTAAAAACAATAATGATATTAATTGCATTAGTTGCCAAATTTGGTTGATCATTCAATGATTAAAATATTTCCTATACTGGACGTCATCAGAGTTATTATTAGTATGTTATATGGTATCTCTTCCTTTGAAAGAACCTTTAAATAGTATTAAAATCGTATTGGTGGATCTTTTGTAGTTAAACACTTCCGTGATTTCGTCAGTGTAATATGATTTTATTTGAAAAGAAAATATTTTTTGGGAAGACATATTCTAACTTCAAAGGGAGGTATATCCGTTACAGTGTAAGTTTGATTTTTCCTTTGTCACGTCAGTTCATATCGTACTTCTGTGCCAATGACTGAACCCTCTAGCATAGTTTTGAGAAATTGATTGTGGGGTTACTGTTAAAGCTGGAATTCCTTGACATGGGGGATGTCAGTTAGTTGTCTCAGCCTTATCAATAACATAAAGTTGTCA